CCAATAGCCATATCCAGTCTATCCCTTATTTGGAGGTGGGGGAAGGAAGGCCACCTTACCTTATAAATACACCACTCATCTCATAAATTATCCTAAGACTTCCTGAAATCCACACTGCCCAGCCCAGAGTGCCGCTATACCCTTCAGACCCCACCGACTCGCACTCTCTCTGGAGTGTGAGATCTGCCTTTTTTAACTGTTATCTTTGAGCTGACATCTTCCTTGTGGGTACTGAGGTGAACTCCTTGCCTGCTAACAGATGGACAGCAAGCTGTGTCAAGAATGGGATACTGAGGGAAGGCAGGCGAGGGACAGGTGTGGCTTAAGGGTGGTGGTGACACATGCCTTTAATCCCAGCTCCCCGGAGGCAGAGACAGGCGCGGACCTCTGTGAGTTCGAGGCCAGCCTGGTCTGCAAATCAGGTTCCAGGACAGCCAGGGGTGCTATACAGAGAAACCCTGTCTTGGAAAAACAAACAGCAGCAACAAAACAAAAACAAAAGACAAAGTATGACCTTCTGGTACATAGCTCAATGGTAAAGTTGTAGGTTATGCAAGAGCCAGAAACTGAGTCTGTGTTAGGCTGTCATCATGATGCTAGTGTTGCAGACATTTAAAAACACAAGCACATATGAACACACACAGGAGAAAGTGATAAATTGCATAGGATAACAGATAATAACGTTTATTTTTTTTGTCTTTTCTCCAATTTTTTCTATATTGGATTTTCTTCTTTTTAAATATTTATTTATTATGGATACAATACTCTGTTTGCATATATGCCTGCAGGCCAGAAGAGGACACCAGACCTCTCTACAGATGGTTGTGAGCCACCATGTGGTTGCTGGGAATCGAACTCAGGTCCTTTGGAAGAGCATGCAATGCTCTTAACCACTGAGCCATCTCTCCAGCCCCTGGATTTTCTTTTCAAGCGGGCAGTGAACTTCATGTTCCCTGCTTTTATTTTTCGAAAACAAAAAGCCTTTTTTCCCCCACAGAATTCCCAAAGACAGCATCTAATTAAGTCACAGGTTAGTGTGCTGTGGGTGACTGTGCAAGGCCCCCTGTAACCCGGGCAACCTGAACGATCGGGCACTATGTTCTCCAAACCAGCCTAAGAGACACCCCTTGGCTGCTACACCTCTGAGATCATTCTGAGGAGCTGCTTGGTCCCAAAGTAAATTGAGCCCTTTCTTCCCCTTTTGCCTGAGGCCCAGTTGTCCTCCTCCTTCTTATCATCATCCTCTCTCTCTCTCTCTCTCTCTCTCTCTCTCTCTCTCTCTCTCTCTCTCCCTCTCTCTCTCTCTCTCTCTTCCTTCACACACACAAGAAATTTCACACACTTCAAATGTTTTATTGAAATACAAAATAAATAAAGAAGAGTGTGACTCATCATGCTTTTAAAGCTGTCTCCTCCCATTCTCGGTCTCTTCCAACAAGGGAGACTCACGCCATGTGCTTTTTCTCAAAGTTTAGCTCACATATGTAGCCATTTTTTCATGCAAACACTTACAGGTTGTCTACAGTTCTTAGGCACAGCTAAGCTAGGGCTGCAAAGATGGGTAAGTCCTCTGTGAAGACCCAGTACGCAGTAAAGTCAGGCAAAGACATAAGCAATAGTAAGACAGTGGTAAGGACCCAGTTAATGGATTTCTTGAAGGGAGAGGAGGTAAGAGAAAGAGTGAAGAGTAAGCTGGATGGTGGTGGCACGCACTTTTAATTCCATAACCCAGAAGACAGAGATAGAGGGAGCTGAGTTCGAGGGCAGCATCGTCTGCATAGTGAGTTCCAGGACAGCCAGAGTTACACAGAGAAATCCTGAATTGAAAAACAAAAACAAACAGAAAACCAAAAAATCAAACAAGCAAACAAAAAGAGTGAAGAATAGGAAGGCTTTAATGGAATGAGAGGAAATGGCATTATAGTTTTTCTAAAAATAAAAGAGGTTTTAGGTGAGAAGTGATGTCTAATACATAAGCAGGGCATAATATCAGCCATAGAGATGACAGCGCAGGAAAGAAAATGAATGCAGAGAGAGAAGCACGTTCAAAAACCCAGAAGAAGGGAAAGTAGGGCACATCTGGGCTATAGCAATGAAGTGAATTAAGTGATGTCCCTCTGGGCATGGCTTCTCTAAGAAGCATTTTTACAATAAGCCACGGTGACTGTATCACATGGAACTTCTGCCATGCAACAAGTCCCATTTCCTCTACACTGCTTTGCTTACCGTTCTCTTCACCCTCCTGAATCCGACCATGCTTGCCACTTCTCTCTGGACTGTGACTCAGTCCCAGAGTGTTCTAGTATAGAAGGAGGGATTCATAGACCTACCAGGTGCCTGTGTGTGTGCTGGGTATAAAAGCTGAAAGGCATGTTTGCATGCATATAACTCAACAATTGCTAGCTAGTCATGATAGTAGTCATGAGGATGAAGGTGAATGTGGAGGTACCCATCTTTTGACTACTGCAACACGACGCAGGGAGCAACTTCATAAAAAAAATTTATTTGGGCTCAAAGCAGTGGGGGTGTCAGTTCCTAGCATTATGATACAAATTCCCCTGAGAGTTCCCAAGTATACATCCTATCATGGGGGAACATGCATGAATCTATATTTCTATGTGATCTGTCTTAGTCATTTTTCAACTGCTGTAACAAAATACCACGTCCAAGGCAACTTATTGAAGGACTAATTTTGAGGGGGTTTATAGTTTCAGAGGGTGAGTCTGTGACCATCATGGTGGGGAGCGTGGCAGCAGGCAGGCGGGTATGGCCCTGGAGCAGCAGCTGAGAACTTACATCCTTGCACAAGTAGAAGGCAGACAGAGCTAACTGGGCATGGCAGTAACACAGGCTTTTACAACCTCAAAGTGACACACCTCCTCCAAAAATTCACACCCCCTAATCCTTCCCAAACAGTTCCAACAACTGATGACCAAATGCTCAAATACATGGATCTATGGAGGTCGTTCTCATTCAAACCACCACATGGCCTTTCTCTCTTCCCTTAGAGAGTCACCGGGGTTTAGTCATCAATGACCTACTCTACTCTGCTTCCCAAGGGCCATAAGTCTGAGCACAATAGTTGGATTCATTTCCCTTCTCTTAATATACTAACATAAAATTTTGAATCTTAAATTCCTGCGCGAGTCCACAGAGAAAATGATCAAGTGGCCTGTTATCTCCTGACTTTGGAGGGGACACCCCTGATGGAACCTTATGAAACAAATTTGTGTGTGGATTTCAAAGGGACAGAGTTAGGTAGAGATTGAGGAGCAACCAAGAGTCAGAGATAGAAGGCAGAGGAAGTCAGAAAGTGGTTATATAATTCACACACACACACACACACACATACACAATGGGGGAGGGCGAGAGATAAAGAGATGGGGGAAGAGAGGGAAGGGGAGAGGAAGAGGGAGGGAGAAAAGGGTAGAGAGCCTAGGGAGGGTCTGAAGTTACCCTCTTTAGTCCATCGTCAGGAGACTGAGTTGGGAACCTTGGACCTTGATCCTTCCCACTGCTTCTTTAATTTGGCCCCCACCCCCATTCCTCATACATCCGTCCCACCCACCCTGGAATCCACTGCATTCCTCTCTGTCCCCATAGCTCTGGGGAGGCTCTGTATTCTTATCTTTCAGCATGTAACCTTTTGGTCTGGCTTCTTTCCCTTAGCACAACACCATGTGTATGATTGCATACATCAACACTAGCCCCTTTGGATCTCTGAGTGGCATTTCCCAGTACAGATGAGCCACAGTTATTCTAACTGTTCACCAGTCAGGTGATGCACATGACTTCTACTTGCTAAATGAATATTCCATTCTATGGATATCCAAAACCTCAGGTAGGTGGCCTCAACAGTTCTATGTGTGTGTGCACGTGTGCACACACGTGTGTTTAACATTTTAGGTTGTTCCTTTATCATAAGTAGCTGTTAAATAGACATCTTTATATACATATCTCTGTATAGCATCTATATATGTATTTATATCTTTATATACTGTACATGTATCTGAAGCTCTTAGCAAGCATGTATTGTGTCATTCATTTATTTATTTATTTTATTATGTATACAATATTCTGTCTGTGTGTATGTCTGCTGGCCAGAAGAGGGCACCAGACCTTATTGCAGATGATTGTGAGCCACCATGTGGCTGCTGGGAATTGAACTCAGGACCTTTGGAAGAGCAGGCAATGCTCTTAACCTCTGAGCCATCTCTCCAGCCCGTATTGTGTCTTTTAAAACAGGAACATACAGAAAATAGAAAATACAGCTGCTTCCAAAAATATATTTAATTATATGAGATTATACCACACTCCAGGTCTCAGTGTTTTGTATTATTATCAAAATAAGAAACAATAACTTTAATTCTGTGGCAAATTCTGCCTGGTAAGCAAGACTAGCTAAATGCCTTGTTTTTTGCATTGGGAGCATAAGTCTAACGGGATTACCGCCTGGCTACATTGTTTTCCTAGAAGAAAGTGTCTTTAGACAGTGGGAGCCCTTGGCCTAGGCAGGGTGGACGCAAGACTGGGTTCCGTTAGAACACTCTGGTGAATTTGTAGTCACACTTGAGAACTTGACGTCAAAGCTACTAAGAGAGAAATGACAAGGCTGGCATCCCTTGCTGTGGAAAGAGCTGGGCTCCCCCTCCGCAGAGAGGCTGACGCTCTGAAAGGAATGAGGAAACAGAGACAGTGTTAGCGTGTGGCATCTGCTTTCAAAATCACGCAAGCACACTACAGAAATGTTTAAATAGAACAGAAAGTTCATAAAGCCAGAAGTAAAAATTATTAATTTCCCTGTTTCCAGAGACTCACAGCTAACAATTTCAGTTGTCAAGAAAGCCACACACACACTCATGCACAGGCATGTACTCACACACGTACACATGCACACACACACACACACACACACACTAATGCACATGCACACACACACAAACACACACACACACTAATGCACATGCGCACACACACATTCTCACACATCCCTCTATGTAAAAACACGGAATGCAATTTTCTTCCTTTGCCTGACTCCACCTCTTGGACACAGTTCATGCTGGTTCACACGGAGTCAATTCATTTTTCCTTGTGTATGAATCATTATTGTACGGATGTTCAAGAGTGTTAGCCAAGTTCCTTGTTGTGAATAGTGTAACATTAGAGTTTAACTGATTAAGAAAACCCTGTTCTGACTTTAAAATACCCAGGGGAGGCCTGCCAAATCCCATTTAAACTAAAGAAGGTCTGACCTTCGCAGTTTTTGAAACCGAAATTACTGAATTCCTTTCAACCAATTAAAAAATTATAAAACCATCTTATCTTGGTTCAGAAACCAATCCCACTGCTCTGGGCTAGAAGCCAGACAACTTCCTTAGGACGCACCAGTCCCTTTTTTTAATTAGCCAATGAATGGCTCCCTCTGCTGGACATTCACTACAGCGTATTTCTGACTCAGTGCCTGTCCATGTTAGATTCATTCAAAATTGGTCCTTCCAATTTTCTCTCTCTCTTTTTTTGCCTTAAAATAATTAAACTAGCTAATATCTGGATATATTCCATTTATTTTCAACAAAATGAAATAACAGAGCAAAATGCAAGAAAGTATGAGTGTTGTGATCCAGCTGCCCTCACTCCCCCTAACCGACAGCAGAACTTTTTTGCGGTCTGTAATTGACAAGGATGTTTGTGTTCTTTCTGACCGGTGGTTTTCCACAGAAGCAGTAGAGAGGTATAAAAAGGTTTTAGCTGAGGCAAAATAAAGCTTGCTGTTCTTCCACCTGAAAAGAAGCCTCGGTGTCTCAATCCAGGCACCACCCACCAGTCTCAGCTATCCAGGCTGTGCAGGTGCTGCGTATGAGGGCCTCCCCTCATCTTTCTGCACTTCTTACTTTTTTTTTTTTTATTGAGAAGTTATGATTGGTGCTTTGGAGTTCATCTCCTCAGACCCCTGTCTTCTGTATGCCCCATTCCCAGTCACAAACTAAACATGCAGCTTTATTCTCTTTGCACTATATTTCTGTCTGTGCTAGAGTGTTGGTCTGGCATATTTGGGAGTTAAAGATGGCTGTAAAACACCATGTGGGTGCTGGGAAACAAACACAGGTCCTTCGGAACAGCAGTTGGTACTCTTAACCACGGAGCCATCTCTCTAGCCCTAAATTTTATTTTCTTAAAAAATACCAGAAGCATCTCCAAGACATGTTGTTAAGTGGTAAAAGAGCAAATCCCAGCGTCACATCTATAGCATTATTTATTATAAGTAATCTAAGAGATCTACGTCTGTTGTTTGTGTGTGCACGTCCATGAACATGTACAGATGCACACATGGACCAGGACAGGAATGTCATAATCTATAAGAACACACGAGAAAAAATAAATAAATAAATAAATAAATAAATAAATAAATAAATAAATAAATAAAAAAAAAGAACACACGAGAATATAGAAACAGTGGTCTGTCTACTTTCAGTAAGGAAGCTAAGTCGCATAGGAATCAAGAAAAAACAGTGTTCACCTCCCCGACCCTTTGGATAATTGCAAATTTTGCTTCAAGGGTGTAAATTAACTTTGAAAAGCTAGGATGAAGAAGGAATGTCTGCCGAAGTGTTGCTAGGCAAAGCATGGCATCGAGCTGTCTGGGGGAGAGCTGGCTCATCTTGTAAATGTGTGTGGAACTTGCACCCACCTAACTCAGAGATGGGGGGGGAGGCTACAGTGAAGAAACAACCTAGTCTGCAGTGAGCAACTTAAGAGATGCATGGAGAATCACGCTGCAGTTCACCTGAGTTCTGACTGACGCCCTTTACTTACGAGCTCATGACACAGTCCGGATGAGTGCTGTGGTCCACACACATTAAGAACTTCACAGGTCTAAAGGAGGAAAACAGTCCTTAGGAGATTTCCCAAATAAAAAACATTTATGGTTTTGTCTGAAAAGCGCTGGAAACACAAAATGCATCTCTGAAGATCGCAGAAGCAACTCCTTTATAAACAATACTAGGGAGGCTGGGAGTGGTGCGCACCTTTCAATCCCAACACTAGGGAGGAAGGCAGAGGCAGGGAGATCTCTGTGAGTTTGAGACCAGCCTGGTCTACACAGAGAGTCCCAGGACAGGCAGGGCTGCACAGTGAGACCCTGTCTCAACACCCTTCTCACAAAAGCTAGCATTTATCAAGTATCAGAAATTTTGGTTGTGTGTTTTATTCAGATTGTGTTGTCCAACCATCCAACCATCCAATGGAGTTGATCTTATTTTCAACTGCAATCTGTTGCAGCTAAAACTGCCCACAGTGATTCTCCCACATTCTCACAACATGGGAAACATCGTGAGTTAGCACGCTAACCTTGAACCTTTTAGGTCATCCAGACCCTTTCCACCTGCACATCCTTCTTCATTAGGAAAACCTTTTCGATGTGTGCTTTGGACAAAAGGTTGGACCTAAAACACATGAGGGATGATGGCCATGCTCTGGCTCCAGCGAAGAATGCTCAATTGCCTAGCACAACCAAGCCAGAAAATGTGAAGTCCGGGAGCACCCAAGAGGTAAGGCAAACAGCAAAGGAAATAGGAGCAGGCAACAGTGACACAGAAGTCATGAATTATGAGGCAGGCTAAGAAAATGCCTCCATCCAGATGTTGGAAAGAGTTGAGAGAAGTGGGGGTGTTACACTGCCACTCGGTGCCTGCCCTGCGATTCCCACTTAGACTCATCTACCCCACAGGGTAGTCTACTGTGCATGCATACATTTTATTAGTAGTGGGTTTTATGGTATTGCCTCACTATGCTGCCTAGGCTGGTCTTAAAATCCTGCTGGGCTCTAGTCATCCTCACACCTTGGCCTCATGGGTGCCTGGGACAACAGAAGTGATCGGTCAATACATATTTATAAAAGCTAATAGTTGTTATTGTCTTTTACCAAAGACAGGCATTGGATCTCATCAAGTCTGATCCAGTGTGGTATTAGCAGGTTCAACCAGGAGGAGCGAGTCTCAGTGGGTTGATAAGGCTCCACCAAGAACCCTGATGTGAACTCCAGCTGACACAGGACAAAAGGTGACTCCCCTGAATTCTGGGGGTTGGGAGACCCTTCCCTACATTTATGTTGACCTTTGTGTGGTTAGCCTTTGCAGTTTTGCTTCTTTGCTACCCAGGAGCAATAGAAAAACCTTAACAGAATAGCAGCCAGCAGGAGCTAAGTGAAGCTTGGAGTCCGAGAACCAGCAGTGAGCTGAAGTGGGGATCACAGGAGAGAGAAAGAAAAAGGCTGGGACCCAGAACAGCTGTGATGGGGAGGAGGCTTCTGGGCCTGGACTGACTGACACAGTGGTGATTGGAGAAAGAGACTTTCTAGAGCGTTCTTGAGCCAGAGAAAAGAGGTGGTAACTCTGAAATCTGTAGCCACAGCTGTCCCTATCACTGAGCTGTAATACAGTAAGAATTGTCTATTAAGATGCATTTCTATTAACAGTGTTTTGACTCAGGAAGGAACATTACTAGGGGGTGCTGGAGGATATATGCTTCAAGGCTACACCAAGTTGGGTTCAAAACCCAACTTTGACCTTGCGTATTGACCTTGGACCAGTCATTTAACCTCTGTAGCTCATCTAAAAACAGACAAGCTTTATAGCCCAAAGACAGATAAAACTAGTTCATGACACTACAAATCTAGCCAGTGATTATCACAGAAGCAGACACCTGTGCCAAGAGGGAGCCTGGCGGACACCCAGGTGCAGGTTGTATTCTTCTACTTCATCCCTGAGGGCTGCAGCAGACTGAACTTGATCATGCAACGTTGTATGTAAATCTGTAATTTTCCTGTATGTGGGCCAGATGTCCAGAAGAGTGTATTTGCTTAGTTTTACTTTTGAAAGTGGATGATAGATAGCGCCTAAACTTTGCATTTGTGTGAGCATGAGCAACAATGAGCAAAAGGGCCTGGAACAGGGATGGCATGACCCTCCTAAGAGGTTTCAGGCTCTTAGGAGAAAGACAGTGCTCATACAACTCTATGCTCCTGGTGCCATCTCCACCCAGCACACCCATTAGTGTCTAAGAAAGCCTGTCAAGGTTGAATTTGAGCCCCTGGAAAACCATTAGGCCTGAACGCTTAAGAGCTGAGGTTGGTGGTGCACACATTTACTTTCAGCACCCAGGAGGCAGAGGCAGGTGGAGTTCAAGGTCACCCTGGTCTACAAAGTGAGTTCCAGGACAGCCAGGGCTATATAGAGAAACCCCGTCTTAGAGAGAGAGGGAGGGGGAGAGATGGGTTAGAGAGGAATGGAGACAGGGATTCTGAGTTCAGGGGAGGATCACACCTACCCCAGGCTTAGAGCCAAGATTTGCTAATGCCTGTGTAGGAAGGCCCTCGATGACACCTGAGGCAAAGCGTACAAAGTGTGGGTCACAGTGTCTCAACAAACAGCAGCTGTTATGATTTTTCATACTGTCTGTGGCCAAGACCTATCTATCAAGCGCTCATCTCAGTAGTTTCTGTCCTGTGTTCTAAGATACGGAAACCACAGCCCTTGATCTCCAATTCCATCACGCATCCACCGAGGCTGGATAATAAGTAAATGATAAATTTCTGCTTTTAGCATCCCCCAACTGTACTTAAAAGGGACTCAGAAAGGTTCTTCCTGCCCACACGTCCATAGGCAACCCAGAAGTGGCATCCCTGGCCTTTGGAGTGGATTCCTGAGAAACCAACCCTTTGAATGGGTTTACTCTTTCAAAGTGGTTATACATAGCGCCACCTACCGGTAATCATCGATACAATTGTGCTGGAACCCCAGAGCCTCCAGTCTGTCTTCCAGAATTTTCACACTGCCTTCGCCACAGGATTCCCTAAAACACAGATCAATGTATCTTTTAAACAAACAAATTAAAGAAGAAGGAAAACGTAGTAAAATCTGTTTCAGTGTCAACCAAAGATCTTTCGGCCACTTCCTAATGTTCTTCTTTCAAAGGGAACACGGAAAAGCTTCTGGTTCAGGAGCTGTGACTTCTGGGAAACCTACACAGTCAAGCAGAGCGATGAGGCGGCAGGGTTTGGCAATATTCTCATCCATGCAGTATCAGGACTCTGAAGAATCTGGCCCAGCTCCCCTCTGAAACTTCCACATGGGTGTAAAACTGGCTGTGGGCTCATCGCCAAGCTTCTGAAGTAAATGGCACTATTTAAGCCACAGGGTAGAACAGTTTGCAAACCAGGAGCCAAGAAAGTGGGGAAGTTATCTTAGGGTGCTTGGCAGTGGCGTTCATTCATGAACAAAAAAAAAAATGAGTTCCACCCTTGCTTATATATAAACTCAGGTAGTTTCTGCGAAGATGGAGCTCCGCAAAGTTTTGGTCCTCACCGCTTAGCCAGCACCTCATTACAGAAGTGGTTGCTCCGTGCAGAGCAAAGGCTTCATCACAGAGCACTGTGCTGATTTTGAAAACCCTGGTGAGGGTATTGAGCATTCAAGAGATATGAAATTGGCTTTGACGGTCACGGATGTGTAAGAAACTCTACCTGAAGCTCCCACGCCACTCCTAAAGATCAGCATGGCATCTGGCTGGCAGTACACTGGCATTCCTTACAGTCAGCCTTCACTACCAGCCACATTAGAGACAGAAGGCTGGCAGGTCCCTAAAGCTAAGTGCAAAGCGGCCCTGATTAGGTCATAGCCAAGCAAAGCAAGACCGCACAGCTACCACCCCAAGCCCCACAACTTACACAATGGGTCCCCCAACTTCATGCATGACCCAGATCTCAATTCTTGTGATTTTATCCTTTTGTAAGTATGGGATTTCAAAGTCTGCAAAAAACCTGGAAGACAGGGAGGACATTCATTTTTTTTTCTTTGTTCTTCCACAGGGTTGAATGTGTACATGCTAGGCAAGCTCTCTGACATCAAGCCCTGTCTCCAGTCTAGGAGATCATTTCAAGTCTTAACACAGCATGATCGCTCTCCATTTGGGCTGTTAGTTTATTTAGATATTAGTTATTTTTAAAAGTTTCTAGGAAAGTCGGGTGTGGTGGCGCACACCTTTGAACCAGTGAAATAGAGGTGAGTGGATCTTCTTGAGTTTGAGGCCAGTCTGGTCTACTTAGTGAATTCCAGGACAACCAGGGCTATTCAGAGAGACCCCGTCTCCCCTCCCTCCAAAAAGGTATCTACAGTTCCTTTTACATTTTGTGTACATGCCCATATTCATGTGTGTGAGGGAGCACACACATGTGTGTATGTGCATATGTAAGCCAGAGTACAACATTGGGGGCTGTCCAGTCTCTCTGGCCTGGAACTGGTCAAGTCGGCTAGGCTGGAACAGAGAGTACCAGAGATCCGCTTGTCTGCCACCCCAGCTCTTGGATTACAAATGTGTCATCACCCCCAGATTTTCCACCTGGATTCTAGGTATCAGACAGAGGCCCTCGTGTTTGCCAGGCAAGCACAACCGCTGACCTATATCCCTCCGGCTGCTCTTCTCACCTCTGCATTTGGATCCCCGCTCGTGACTTTGCAGCTCTTAATTAATGGTTCAAGTGTAGAGACCTGGCTCTAATTATCACATTTGCCACATCACTCGACTGTTTCTCTTTACCGGACTTTACAAAAGCAAGCGTTAAATTAGTCCTGGGGTCGTGCAGTTCTTACCCTTTCACGGGATAGGCTCCTGTGGGCTCTGAGCCATTCAGCATGACATTGATCACCCCAGAACTGTCTCTTGAATACTGCAAGAGGAAATACACTTTTGAGGAAATGAAGTGATGTCTCGTGTGAGTGTGTGTGCTTTTAAAGCAGCTTTAGATTTTCTTTTAAAATTGAAGTTTTCAGTCGGGGGGGGGGCATTGGCATTTTACAAGGCTAGTAGAGATGCAGATCACCTTGGAAGTCCCTACTTGGAGTCCCCCACTCAATAATCCCACGTTTGGTACCTTAGGCTAAGGATATGACACGGAATGCATGGCATTCTGTCAGATAGATTAAACTAGGCTGAGCTGACGTGACACACAGACTCCACACCACACTGCAGCGGCTTCACAGGAAGATTTACTATACTCCCACTGGACATTCACCACAGGCTCTTGGTGATTTAGCCCTTGGTGTTCTTACTATGGGGAAGCCTCCACACCTGCAAAGTTGTTAACTGCCAGGGAGAGAGAAGAGCCGGTGGCCTGGCTTACCGGTCACAAACGTCACTTGCATCTCATTGGCCCATGCAAGTCACATGTACATAACTGCATGAAAAATAACCGCACAGAGCAGTACAAGCCACAGGTGCAGAAAGTGAGCCAGCTGTCTTTGACAAACAATACAGAGTCCCACCGCAAACACTGCACACAAGCAAGCACACTGCGGCATGGTTCGCAAGGCCAAAACATGCTCACCAGCTTGGCACTGCAAGGGTTTGGTGCACAGTTCCCACTACGTGCCAACATAAAACCAAAGTCTGGGTTATTAACATGTCACTAGCAAGAATCTACAGAGGATATGCAATATCATAGGGAGTGTTTACATTCAAGCAAAGTTAGATGACATGAACAGAAGATGTGCTTTGCTATAACATAACTGAGCGCCGCTGAGGGTGTAGCTCAGACGTGCTGGCACGTAATTGGTCTTGAGTTCAGTTTCTGGTATCAATAAACAAACAGTTAAGTAAGTGGGAGTCTAGGTAGCCTTGTTCCCAGAGCTCTAGTTCAGTGCGCGTAATTTCCCTCTTAAATGATGGTTCTAGAATAAAGGGTAGGTGGTGGTGGATTCCGTGTCACTGAGCCTCGCAGGACAGGTTTGCTCACTAAGAAGAGGACACCTGATACCAGGAGCTCCAAAGCAGAGGCACGTTTTGTGCCATTTGTCTCCAGCTGCTTCCGAAAGGTACGAACAGTAGGAGTTAGGTCTCCAGAGGCTGACATCTGTAACCTCTGTGTTAAAGGGTAGGTAGCATTTGGGTGGCAGGAACATCTCACTTGTCTTCCTCTGCCTTGTCATTCTCTATCTTGAGCAGGGACAGCACCGACAGTGGGAAAAACCTGCAAAGAGTGTGGGAACGCATGCAGCAAAGGCATAGCCAACAGTGGCTGAAGATTCAGTCTCTGGAGCTGGAGAGGCTGTTTGCGAATCCTGGTTCACCTGCTGATTATGATCTTAAACTTGGGAAAGTCTGCTGCAGTCTTTGTAATGAATGTTCCAAGTCTGAATAAACAGCTACCTCAAAGGATTGTAAAGATGAAATGTTTAAAGTCATAGCAACATTTAGCCTGGAGGTGTAGTTCATGGTAGGACCTTTGCTGGATATCTGCCAAGCCCTAAGTTTGATCCCCAGCACCACAAATAATAATAATTGACAACAATATTTATTGACTACTTATGAGGTTCAAGCCATGTTGTTACTATACTGGACTGGCTTTGCTCCTGCTTCAACCACCTAGTATTTTCTAAGGGCTTAAAAATTAGAGGCACTGATACTAGTTTCCAATAAGAAAACCCAATTGGAGTATGCACTTTAAAGTTAAGCAGGTTCACAGTGGCATGTATTACGATTCTTTTTTTCTATGTCTGTTTTGTTGGTTTGCTTGCTTGCTTTTGAGACAGGGTTTCTTTGTGTAGCCTTGACTGTCCTGGAACTAGCTCTGTCGACCAGGCTGGCTCCGACTCACAGAGATCTGCCTCTATCCACCTCAAATGCAGCTTTAGCACCTATTTGCAGGGTTCTCTCTCTTTTCTAACGATTTATTTATTTTTGTTTTATGTGTTTTATTTTGTTTTATGTGTGTTTTGGGTGTTTTGCCTGCATGTATATGTGAGGGTGTCAGATTGACGAGAGCTGGAGTTACATACAGTTGTGAGCTGCCATGAGGGTGCTGGGACTTGAGTGTGGGTCCTCTGGGAAAGTTGCCAGTGCTCTTAACTGCTGAGCCATCTCTCCAGCCCCTTACAGTTTTTTTTACAGACAGTGTCGGTATGACACCTGTATAGGAGCATTAAGCCTTCCAGTCTCCAATAAGAAACTTGGGCAGCTACTGGAGCCTGTATTTCAGATGAAGCCCTGGGAAAGCAGGAACAAACACTGCTCACACTGGAGCTGGCAGGGGCACACAGTGCTCCGCATGAGGCCTTATGCTTGCAGAGGGTCCTTTGCTTAGCCCTGGTGGAAGGTCCACCCAATCAGTGGACCCAGTGAACACTGGGAGAGCAAAGTAGACAGTGGCGATGGGAGGCAAGGACACATCACTTCTGAAAGAGGAGTAGCGGAAGTACCCTGTCCTTTATTTACTTCTTGATCAGCGTGATTGACAGTTAATCATCAGCACTTAGCTATAGACTGAATTCTCGTTATTTCTAATTTTTACTCCAATGCTTGAGGCAGGGAATGTAAGCTATGTATGACATCATTTTTTATAGCTACTGAGAGCCACCGTCAACTCTGTGGCAATATCCTCTGAAATACTTTAGGAACATTTCTGTGGCGCCAGCTTATTGAGAACCTACCGGCTCTTCTGTCATTAATGACGCTCTGTGGACATCTCTGATACCCACATCTAAGTCTATGTGCCCCAGGCTCTTCTGTAAAGTAGAGATTGCTCCCATTTTACACAGCACTATGAAGTGCCATGACTTTGAAGCACTGCACACAATCGCGGTGCGCCAAGAATGCTGACAACGCACTAACCCCATGTATGGCTAACGCTTGCCAAACGTTTTTCTCTGCGCCAGCCACTGCATTAAGTATTTTATCTTTTTAAACCCTCACATCTTTGTGGGGCAGGGAAAAGGAGTCAGAGAAATCATGACAGTGGAAAGGGAGACTCGCCGAGATGAGGTAGCAGCCTGGGATCCAGTTCATAGAATCCACGCAAGCTCCACCCTCGCTCGCCCTTCCCAGGATTACCTGCATGGATGCCCTCTTCCAGTAGGAGTCCACGGCATTGTTTTCACAGTCTTCTGACGTGGGGCAGGACTGATAATCAAGTCCTGGGGGGAAAGTACACAAATGCATTTCATATTGGAAATGCATTAATGGGAAGTATTTGCTAATTCCATATTCGGTATAGGTTCAGAACAATGAGCACAATGCATTTACTGTCTCAAGCCTCATTTTCCCCTCTGGGAAATAAAGAAATGAAAGTAGAGTCCTGCTGGATTAGACTCATAAACTCTGAGATCAGATTGTGAGACTACACGGCTTACTGGATTGTACATTCCTAAGCCGTTTCCTTAATCAAGCCATGCCTCAGTTTCCACACTTGCCAAAAGGATCATAGATAGATCATTATTGCGTGAACTCTGGAATTAATGTGTCTAAATATATGTAACAGTCTACAGCAAAGGTAAGGACACTCTGCCCATTATTATTATCCATTACTATAGATGTCACCTACCTCAGAGGATTTGGGAAGGATTACATAAGATGAACATATATGAAAATAAGCAGCATCAAAGGTAAATCTGCAGGTAAGCGGGGCCATTACTTTCTGGCGATGTAGGCAAAAGTCTTACCAGAGGCATTTTCCTGTCGACACCAGCTCAGGAAATCTCCAACCTTGCCATACAGAACATCGCAGAGGGGCATAAGGCGACGTGTGTTCTCTGCAAAGCTGGTAACCAGTAGGTGGTTATTCTCCCAGAATAGCGACTGGTGAGACCGAACCAGGAGCGAACATGGGAAAGAAAATGAAAACACGTTGCAGTTGTCACCAAGACAAATCAGCACCCGTTCCTCATGGAACTGGGACCTGCTGCCAGCCTCTGCTTTCTTTCTCCTTGTCGCTACTGCCCGTTTGGAGAGTGCGGCCTCTCTCCTCCTTGTATTGCACACACACACACACACACACACACACACACACACACACACACACGTAGAGCAGTGCTTCTCAGCCTTCCCAATGCTGCTGCCCTTTAATACAGTTCCACATGTTATAGCGATCCCCATGAGTGAAATTAATTTCATTGCTACTTTGTAACTGTAATTTCGCTACTGTTAGGAATCGTAATGTAAATATATTTTGGAGACAGAAGTTTGTGAAACGGGTTGCAACCCACAGTTGAGAACCACTGCCATAGACAGTAATGACATATTTTCCCAGTAGTCTGAAATACGTGTACCACTGGTAAGATCCCTGCATTGAAAAGGATTAAGAGACCAGGGCTGGAAGCCTAGCTCTGACCCATGCTAGTTGTGTGATTTTGAACATGGCGTTTCATCTCCCTGTGCCTCGGTTTAGAAAATAATAGAAGCTTTAGCCTCGTGCTGTAGCTGTGGTTAAGACGGGATGCAATCGTGTGATGCCCTCCCTAGAATGCACAGTGCTTCAAAACACCTCACTCTTTACAGCACACCGGGCTCCTTCCAGGGTAAATCACATCTTCATCCAGAACAGGTAACAAGATTCCTGGCGGCTGTCTCATCTGGTCCTCAATAGTCCAGTTTCTTCGTAGACTGGATGGGCTGTAAGAACTGTCTTTTTACTTGGTATCTCTAACCCTTAATACAACACTGGGAACACAGATTTATTGAGTTTATCAACTAGCTCACTAAACCTCAGAGAGATGTACAATTTTAAATTATACATCTGCTTTTTATCAACAAAGAAGCAGAAAATGCAGCATAAACTTAAACATTAGTTCTTGGTCGTATCCGAGGTGGTTGTCCTTACCTTGTCTCTAGGAAGGGAGTGCCTGGAGAGGTTGATGAAGAGGTCATAGTCCGAGGGACGCACAGAGCAGGGGTCCTTGTCTAGCACCGCCTTGAAGGCCTCCCAGATGGCTGTGCAGTTTTGGTGCCTGTGCAAAAGTGCCAGTCAGGACTGCGGAGACACTTCAGAAGGTAAGGCTCTTGTGGTGGGAGCATGCGCACCTGAACTCAACGACCCCAACCCCCCACCCCCTCCTGTCCATGTGTGGCTGCCTGTACCTCTAACCCCAGCATTGCATGAGACAGAAACAGGAAGATGACCGGGGCTTGCTGTCTGCCAGGCTAGCTCTAGCTTTGGGACTAGACGCTGATAGAGTCAGAAAATTACAGAGCAGGACACCCAGTGTTCCCCTCTGGCTTCTGTGTGGGCACAGGGACATCACACACACACACACACACACACACACACACACACACACACAAGTTACAAAGAGAAAACCCAAAGGGCACGATAATGCACTGTGACGCATTTCCTCTCTGAGAGGAAAAGCAGAGTTTTCCAGTTCTAAGTAATCTATTTTTTTTTCCCCTAGGCTCACAGCATAGGCAGAAAAGGGCACAGAGGGAAGCATAGCTATAAACTGACAATTTCTTTCCTTTTCTTTTTTGTTTTGTGTTTTTGTTTGGTTAGTTCTGGGGGGGGGTTGTTGTTGCTGCTTTGTGTTTTTGAGACAGGGTTTCTCTGCGTAGCCTTGGCTATCCTAGAACTCACTCTGTAGACCAGGCTAGCCCTGAACTCAGAGCTCTGCCTGACTCTGCCTCCTGAGGGCTGGGATTAAAGGCAGAAGGTGACAATTTCAATAAACTGTGCAGCCTCTGGTTTTCAGATGTGTGTGTGTGTGTGTGTGTGTGTTGTGGATGTACTGGGCATGGATCAAGGGTCATGCTGTCAGGTGTTCTACCACTGAGCCACATATCTTGCTTTTGTCTATTCTTTTAGACACAAGAGGGGTGCGGCTCTCTGGATCCAAGAGGCTGGGTCAGGAGGAAGACAGAAGTGGATGGAAGGCAAGTGCTGGGAGTGGCTTCTTCTGCCTCAGCAGAAGGTACTCCAGGGACAGTTTCACTCCTGGGGTACAAACCACCTTTCGACATCACTTCCTATGCAATGATCATTTTTTTTCTTCCCCGGTGTGAGAGATGACTATCCCCACTCCTTAGTTCTCTTTCCTCCCCCTCCCTCCCTCCCTCTCCCTTTTCCCCTCCCACTCGCCCTCCCTCTCCACTGAAATGCATAACAATTAAATACACCTGGCACGAGAAAGGGACATTATATCAACTCCAAAAGCGGGACCAAAGGAGGAAAACATTTCAGTAGGGCGCAAGACAGAGGAAACCAGAGTCCTCTAGCCGCTCATCCTAATGACACTCAGCGGCTCTCTCTCCATCCCCTTTCTTCTTCAGTGCGGACAGACACTAAACTTGGGGCATCCTCTGGCAAAAGACACCTCGTGAAGGGGCCCTAAAGGAGATGGGAGTTTGAAGGACGTGAGGGTTTCAGGCACAAGGAGAAAAAACTTCAGGGCCTCTATATTAGAGTCCCTGAAGTTCCCAAAGGGCGCGGACATCAGCAGTTGTTAGAGACCTCTGTTAGCTGGCAAGGCACAGACACTCAAATTCACCTCTAGACTGGTATTTGTGTTGGCGCGCATACCTCTCTCATCTCTACACTCGCAGGACAGTCTCATCTGCACTCTCCTCCTGGGCCTGGAGATCCCATCCACTCAGGCCCCTATCTCTGAGATTACTTGCATAGAGACCCACAAGTTCCCCTGTCTGACTTTCCAAAGCCCCTTTATCTCCCTTTTCACTTTTTAACTTAGCGCTCACCCGGGCTGGAGACTCAGCAGTGTGGTGTACTCTGCACAGCGACCCAGGAAGATGCTTTGCAAATGCGGCGTGGTGCCGGCCCCGCTCCATCGCGCTGCGGCAGCTCTCGCCCCCAGAAGTAGTGACAGCAACAGGGACAGCCACGGCCACAGAGACAACGACCATCCCTGGGCAGCCATCAAGCAGACTGATTCCACCAGTAGGCGACCTGCTGAGCTCCTCCCATTTTGTCTCTGCGGCGGAGGCGGTTCCCCTTAGATGACTACTAGCTTCCTGGAAGCTCATCCTAACACCTCTGCAGTCCCGTCTTCCGTGCCCCCCCCCCCCCACAACCCCATTCCCCTTCCTCTTCTGTTCCGACAGACACTAAACATGAGGCACCTCCAGGAGGGATCCCAAAGGAGACGCGGGTTTGAAGGGCGTGCAGGTTTCATACATAAGAGGAAAAAACTTTTCTGGTTTACATGGCCACACCCTTGACAGATGTCCTCTTTCCCAAGGGCCAAACGTGGGTGAATTTTGTTTGTTTTCAGGACACACGCGCGCGCGCGCACACACACACACACACACACACACAGAGAGAGAGAGAGAGAGAGGGAGAGAGAGAGAGAGGGAGAGAGAGAGAGAGAGAGAGAGAGAGAGAGAGAGAGCGCAACCACCCATATGTAAGCACCGAGCAACTTAAACCCAGTTCCCGTTCACACTATCCTTCCTAGCTGGGTTTATAATTACCTTCGGTTTCTAGATGAGAAAACTTGGGAAAGTTAACTTCTCGGCCAGCTCAGTTCCACTCCCAGGTAACCCTAAAGACAGTCTAGAGAGCTGGAGAGAAGAGATTTCCACGTGGAGTGCCAAGTCCTCTGACCTTACTTCAAAAACAGCTGCGAACTCAGACTGTTGGAACACTACTGAATACACATGAGAGATTGTGTGTGTGTGTGCGTGTGCGCACCTGTATGTGTGATTTTATTTGAATCCCTTTTTGTTGTACCCAAACCCTATATTCTCCCGTCTAGCTTTTCCTTAAGCAGAAGGTCACACAGTCCAGTGTCAGGTATTTTTGGTTCTTCAGCATCCGTCCATCTGTCCTCTCCTTCCAGTTCGCTCCCCTAGTTCTAAACAGGTGTATGGGTTGTCTCTATGTGGTTTTGCTTTGGATATCATCTTCTGGCTTTCAACTGTGGAAAAATAGGTTGTATTACCTCCCTCCTTCCCCATCCCTTATCCCATCCCTTCTTTTTTACCTTTCGTCCTCCCAGCAAGGTGTTATCACAGCTCTGTCATATGGCATTATTACGAACTTGTGAACATTATTCATGGCCGAGTGTATAGCATTTTATTTCCTTAGTACCAAGAGGTAGAGAATGACTTTTCCTGGACTCATTTTTCCCTACCCTGGGTGGGTATTCTATGCTTCCATGTGCATGGAAGGTCGCAGTCCACACTCTGTAAGTCACGCAAATTTTCTCACTCAAAACCAACAGTCATCATCCTTTTTTGGGAATATCTTGCTTCCTGTTCCAAGATGAGTGTGCTGCTTTAGGCTGTGTGACTGTCTTCCCAGTGAGCCCTCCCTCTCGGCTGTGGCCTGCACTCTCCTCTCTAGATCCCTTTAGGAAACACAATTTCTCATGGCTTCTTGAGAAGATACTAGGAAGTCTCCACATTTTTTGCATAACAGAAAATATTATGATTTTATGCATCTGATTGAGAATTGAATCTGTAGAATTTTAAATTAGAAATAATTTCCCTTCAAAGTTTGAAAACCATTTTCCTTTTATTTATCTGCCATCTCCTGCCCCAGTAGTTTGGGGGATTTTTTTTTTTATTATGTGGAGTTTGAATTTTCAGAGGTGAATTTGGGGGATGGCTTTTACTCAGTGTCTTTGTAACCAGTGGAGCCATTCACTACTTTGCTTATTATTTAGTTAATCACTTGGCTATTTATTATTAATTTACGGTACTAATGGAATTAAACGTTAGGCACCACTCATACTAGACAAGTACTCTAACCTTGAGCTATATTCCTAGCCTTCTTTTTTTTTATTGAAAAAAAAATTCCGCCTCCTCCCCGCCTCCCATTTCCCTCCCCATCTCCCTTTTCCCTCCCCCTCCTCCCACTCTTCTCCCCCTCCCTCTCCAGTCTGAAGAGCAGTCAGGGTTCCCTGCCCTGTGGAAAGTCCAAAGTCCTCCCCGCTCCATCCTGGTCTAGGAAGGTGGACATCCAAACTGGCTAGGCTCCCACAAAGCCAGAACATGAAGTAGGATCAAAACCCAGTGGCATTGTCCTTGGCTTCTCAGCAGCCCTCATTGTCCGCCATATTCAGAGAGTCCGGTTTTATCCCATGCTTTTTCAGTCGCAGTCCAGCTGGCCTTGGTGAGCTCACAATAGATCAGCCCCACTGTCTCCGTGGGTGGGTGCACCCCTCGTGGTCCTGACTTCTTTGCTCATATTTTCCCTCCTTCTGCTCCTCCTTGGGACATTGGGAGCTCAGTCCGGTGCTCCAGTGTGGGTCTCTGTCTCTATCTCCATCCATCTCCAGATGAAGGTTCTATGGTGATATGCAAGATATTCATCAGTATGGCTATAGGATAGGGTCATTTCAGGTTCTCTGTCCTCAGCTGCCCCAGGAACTAACTGGGGACATCGCCCTGGGCACCTGGGAGCACCAAGTCTCTTGCCAACCCTAAGATGGCTCCCTTAATTAAGATATGTGCTTCCCTGCTCCCCTATCCAACCTTCCTTTATCCCATTCATCCCGTTTCCCCAAGTTCTCCCCAACCTCCCCTTCTCACTTTTCTCTCCCCATCTCCCCTTTCTCCCCTTCCCCCCCTCCCCCAAGATCCCATTTTTTGCCCGGCAATCTTGTCTACTTCCCATAATCAGGAGGATAGCTATATGTTTTTCTTTGGGATCACCTTCTTATTTAGCTTCTTTAGGAGATCAAATTATAGACTCACTGACCTTTATTTATCTCTAGAAACCAATTATGAGTGAGTACATCCCATGTTCAACTTTTTGGGTCTGGGTTACCTCACTCAGGATAGTGTTTTCTATTTCCATCCATTTGCATGCAAAATTCGAGAAGTCATTGTTTTTTACCGCTGAGTAGTATTCTAATGTGTGTATATTCCACACTTTCTTCATCCATTCTTCCATTGAAGGACATCTCGGTTGTTTCCAGGTTCTGGCTATTACAAATAATGCTGCTATGAACATAGTTGAACAAATGCCCTTGTCATATGATCGCCTAGCCTTCTTTTTGCTTTTTATTTTGAGACACAGTCTCACTAGGTTAGCTCTGCTGGCCTTCAAAGCACTGTGTAGCCTGGGTAGGTCCCAAACTAGCTTGGCAGATGCACAGGGACTTCTCAGGCTTGGAAAGGAAGGAAATAGATACTTCTCCAGAGCAACCATAAATAAAAGGCTCTCAGATCTTTAGCTGAGTAAGACTGACTCTGGACTTCAGACATAAAAAAAGGGAGGGTGTTTGTGGTGTGTGTATGTGTGCATCCCACTAATGCACCACCAATAGAGATTACATACAGATTTTGCACCCCAAACCGTCTTTCTGTCCCTTTTCTCTTCAAAATGAAACAAGGCTATTCCACGTACATGGTCTCAGTCAGACCATGAAGAGCCCCCTCTCCAGCTGACATGACATTAGAGAACAATTTAGTCAATCAAAAAATATTTTTCCTGGCCCCAAACTGTACTAACAACTACTGAAAATATTTGAGTAACTGTTATACAGTCAGGAAGACTTTTCAAGAACACGGGAGAGAAAAAAAGGCTTAAATTGCCTTCAATATTAATAAAAATATGAATATCAAAGATAAAGGCTCAACAAGAAGTAAAGAACATAACAAACTCTATAACATCTTGGATATATCTAAGTTAGCATAAACTATAGAAATATAAATATTAAAAGTACTGTGAGAGAGGGCCCTGAATAAACTGAGGAACATAATTTTGGACCCTGGAAGACAAGAGGTTCTTCTTATATGGTGACAGGAAATTGAGATGGATTTTTTTCTACAATTATACAGGGAACACTTTGTATTTAAAAAATTTGTGCACTTACTTTAGATTTCCAAGACAAGCACTGAAGGCATGGTTCCTTGCTGCCTTAGTAAAGTGTAAAATGAAAAAGAAAAAACTACTAAAAGCAGAATCAGGACTGATGACTTAGGGGATTTTAAGCCTGCCCAGACTGTGAAAGATGCTGAAATTGAGGTCTACCATGAGGAATACACACTTCGGGGAGCAAAAAGAAGACAGTTGTGTGGCTGGGCATTCTTATTTGGAAATATATATTTAAAACACTTTAAACTGTGCTAAGATATACATAGAATTTATCTTTTTAGCTATCTTTAAGTATGAGCATCATTAACTTAGTTCTTGGTAAGTGTGGTGGCATGAATAGATACGACCTCCACTGACTCATGTGTTTGGTGCTTGGCCCATAAGGAGAGGCATAATTAGGAGATGTGGCCTTCTCAGAGTAGGTGCATCCTTGCTGGTGTCACTGTGGAGGTGGGCTTTGTGGTCTCATATATGCTCAAGCCATAGTCAGTGTTTCAGTTCACTTCCTGTCTGCCTTCATGCTGCCATGTCCTGCCATGATGATAATGAGCTAAACCTCTGAAACTACCGTAAGCCAATTCCAATTAAATGTTTTCCTTTATAAGAGTTGCTCATGGTGTCTCTTCCCGGCAATAGAAACCCTAACTAAGACAGGAAGTAAAAAGAAAAAAAAAAAAGAAACCTGACCCACATAGGCCCATCTGGCACCACCAGGCCTGGGTAGGCAGAGGATATCCACTGATTTACTGGGTTCTGCTGGGCCTGGGTGGATGGAGACACCCACAGGCCCACCTGGCTCTGCAAACACTAGAGAGGTAGAGGACACCTGAGATGCTCCCTTCACAGCCCTGTGGTGTGGGCTCAGCAGGAGAGACACTGAAGAGGCCCCACCCACAGTCATGCAGCGCAGGTGGGGTGGGCGCCACTCCAATGAGCATGTACATTGAGAAAAGACAGAGAAAGAGAAACGGAACGACTTGTGCACAATGGAGAGAGGCAGAACTGGAGACGTGAAGGTGGCTTATGCTGCCACCTGAGGCCACAGAGTTGCCCTGGCCCATACTACCACCAAGAGCCATGTTTGAGTCTGTGGTCCTGCAGCAGCAGAGGTCTGGGTCGATGTCTGTGGCCCGTTTTCACCGAAG